TCGCAGTTCACATGTCTATGAGTAAAGAGATGCCAATATTAAAATTACTGAATTGTCTATTTATTTTACACCAAATGGACAGAATAACAAATGAGGGACTAAATTGAGCAAAAACACAAAAATCTGAGACTAAATTAAGCGAAACACAAAAGTCTGGGAGGATATTAGGTCACCAAAGTTGTTTAGGACGAAATTGAGAAAAACCACTATAGTCGAGGACGATTTTGGGTATTAACTCATTATTATTTTATAGTTGTACACGGATTAAGTTAAAGTCAACTTCATTATCATTTTATAGTTGTATGTGTACATTGAACTTTTGAGAGTACATTTTATATTTATAGAATATATTACATTGGAATACACACACATTAAAAATAATACTATAAATATATAAGTTATTTTAAAATTATTATGATTAGTTTATTTTAAAAAAAAAATCTCTAATAATCAAAATCAATTTAAAACATTAATAAATATCAATTAAATATATTAATCATATTTATAATATTATGAAAAAATTATAATTATATAAGATTTATGATACAATCATATATAGACACATTAAAAATAATACTATAAATATATAAATTAATTTAAATTTATTATGATTAGATTTTGGAAGAATATTCTAAGTAATCAAAATAAGTTTTAAATGTCAGTAAATATCAATTTAATAAAATATTTTTAAAAAAAATAATTTAATAAATACATTAATTAATCATAGGGCATGTTTGGTTATTGGCGGATTCGCCGACTTTGGCGTTTTGACCAAAGTCAAAACGCCAAAGCCATTGTTTAGTTAACAGCGGATTGCTCCAAACCGCTGATTTTAGAAACGCTGCATATAGCAGCGTTTCTCTTTGGCGTTTTGGGCAAAAGCCCAAAACGCCCTAATATATTAAAAAAAAAATAACGTTGTTGTTGTTAATTAAAATGAGAAGCCTCATGCTTCATTAATAATGAAGCCTGAGGCTTCTAATTCCCTGCCCTGGGATGCAAATTGGGGCGTTGAGCTCCCCTTTTAATGAGGGAGCTCAACGCCCTTTTTTTTTTTTTTAATTTATTGTCGATTGTCGATGTGGGATCGAATTTGATCCCACATCACATTTTTTTTTGATTATTATTATTACCATTAATTAATTAATAATAATAATAATAATAATTATTATTATTATTATTATTATATGTATACCCTTTTGGTCATTTTACATGTTAACCGCTAATTTTACCAAACATCTTTTTACAGACCGCAGATATAATCCGCTGGTCAAACCCACTAACATAATCCGCTATTTGTTAACCGCTAATACAATCCTCTAACGCTAACCGTTAACCGCTATTTGCCAAACAAGGCCATAGAAGGATGACAGCTTTTCTGTCATTAGTTTTTTTATTATTATTATTAATTATTTATTTATTTAATAACCACCTTAGTTCTTTTATTAATATTAAGTAAGTTTGATTTAATTTAATTTATTAAATGATATTAACTTTAATTCAAATTATTTAGCATCAGTTATAACAAACAAAATGTTGAGGGAAGTACGACGCAAATTTTATTGTTTTTGACAAAAAATAAATAAATAAATTCAATTAAAGCCTTGAAAAAAAAAAATTAAAGAGATAATGGTACAGCATTACTAGTACAAAAATCCCAATCAAGGGGCATATGAAATGGACAGGAGTTTTGTAAATTTGTAATGTAACCCCAAATTGTTTATTGTTTTGACATGAATTTGTTCCCTAGACTTGTGACTTGCATAAATGGTGCAAATTAAAGTCATGTTCACAACTTCACACTGATTGTGGTCCCACTTCCAAGATCCTATCGTCAAGTGAACAGATCCTCTGATCATGGGCTCAGATTCTCATTTTACTATTTTACTCCTAATCATAATGAATTTCACCACGACTACTTTAATTAGCGCATCTCTAACACTTTTCTCCTCATTTTAGTATATCTTTCCTTATTTTCTCTTGATCCTTCTTCATTTTTCTCCCATATTTATAAGAACATCAATAGTAGTACTAGTCAGGGACGGAGCCAAAAATTTAATTGAGGGGGCGAAGAAGTAGGACGAATTCAAAAACATTTTTCAGTAAAAGCGAAACATTAAAACAAAAGAGATAATTTTAAAAAAAAATTACCTAAGATTTTTTTTAATAACCATTACCTAAGAAATATAGTTGTAAATATTATTGGATATGTGTGAAAAATAAAACACATCGAAACTTTATAAAAATATTCATAACAAAATATGAAACATAATAAATATGATAAAATAATTTGAATAGAAAACACATTATAAATTACACATCTCACTATTAATATAAAAGAATTATATATATATATATATATATATATATATATATATATATATGTGTGTGTGTGTGTGTGTGTGTGTGTGTGTGTGTGTGTGTGTGTGTGTGTGTGTGTGTGTGTGTGTGTGTGTGTGTGTGTGTGTGTGTGTGTGTGTGTGTGTGTGTGTGTGTGTGTGTGTGTGTGTATTAAATATTAAAAAAGTGACTGTGTTGAAGCCATAGGGAAACGACTCAAAAATAGTGACTGTGTTGAAGCCATAGGGAAACAACTCAAAAATAGTGACTATGTTGAAGCCATGGGGAAAGGACTAAAAAATATGTAAAACTATGTTAATGCAAGAATTCGAATCCAAAACCTTTCCTATTACCAAACATGTGCTCTACTAACTAATCTAACTCTTTACTTGTTGACATTTACTAGTTTTTTTATACTAATACTAAAACCTATACTATATATACATATATACATACAAAGATTATATATGGGATGGAGGTGGGGGTGGGGTGAGGGGGCAGCTTCCCCCTTTAGCTCCACCCCTAGTACTAGTTTTTTTGGTGATTTTTATCAGTCCAAGTAGAAAAGAGAGTGAGGAAGGGAGAATTCAAAAAACAAAAACAAAAAACAAAAAAAAAACAATAAAAACAAAAACAAAATAACAAGTGCTTAGAGAAATAATAAAAAATAAAAAAATTAAACAAAGCATATTTACGCGCTAGCTAAGCGCGCAGCATTTCGCGCACCTGCGATGTTAATCTCTTCATTTCTTTGTCTTATAGCATCAACAAGGGGCCCACAAAAATGTATTATTTGCAAGAGTGAAAAACCACCCATAAAAAAAAAAAAAAAAAAAAAAAAAAAAAAAAAAAAAAAAAAAAAAACCCTTCCCTCACTAGTTAAAAACACATCTTTGGTTTTTTGATTTACAAAAATTAAATAAAATCCACAAATGTGAATGCTCTAACAGCACGTTTGGTTCACGGAATGAATTTTGAGGTAATAGGAATGTCATTACATAAGGAATGGAATAGGCAAGGAATAGAATAGGAATTGCATTCTATTGTTTGGTTTGCTGAAGGAATAGACTTTAGGAATTATATTATAGTGTTTGGTTGATTTAAGGAATAGAAATGAAATATGTTTTAAAAGATATAAATGCCCTTATCAAAATATGTGATGGTGGTGGTGGTGGTGGTGGCGGCGGCGGTGGTGGTGGTGGCGATGGTGGTGATGGTGGTGGTGGCGGTGGCAGTGGTTGGGGCGACGGTTGTGGCGGTGGTAGTGGTGGTGGTGGCGGTGGTGGTGCTGGGTGGTGGTTCTGGTGGCGGTGGTGGTGGCGACAGCGGCGGTGGTGGTGATGGTGGCGGTGGCGGTGGCAGTGGTGGGGGCGGCGGTGGTGGTGTTGACGGTGACGCTTGTGGCAGTGGTGGTGGGGGCGGCGACGGTTGTGGCGATGGTTGTGGTGGTGGCGGCGGCGGTGATGGTGATGGTGGTGGCGGTGGTGGTGGTGCTGGGGTGGTAGTGGTGGCAGTGGCGGGGGCGGCGGGGTGGTGGGGGCGGCGACGTTTGTAGCGATGGTGGTGGTGGTGGCGGCGGCGGCGGCGGTGATGGTGGTGGTGGTGGCGGCGGCGGCGATGGTGGTGATGGTGGTGGCGGCGGCGACAGTGATGGTGGTGGTGGCGACGACGATGGTGAAATAGGATAAATTTATATATAGGATAAAAAAATTAGGTTAAAGAAAGGGGTAAAAAAAGAAAATAGATTCTAAAATTTATTCCTGAGCGTTCAGTAATAGGCTAATACCAGGGGGGCCCTAGTAATAGCTATTACCTTATTTGAGGTAATATGCTATTACTAGGAATATTATTCCTGATAATAGAAATGGTTACCAAACAAAGGAATAGCCCTATTACTGGGAATGTTATGCCATTCCCGGCCTATTCCGTGAATCAAACGGGTCATAAGTCCTACACTCCTACACATCATCTATTATTTTATTCACTTTTCTATGATTAATAATTTCAACTTTATCATTATAATTTCTAATTTTGATTTCAAATAATGAAATAAAATATTTTTCGATTTTATAAAATATAATTTCACAAATTTAATTCAAGCATTTTACGCCATATTAAAATTCTTTTTTGAAATCGTCTACGAGTGGTGATAGTGGTGGTGGTGATTGTGGTAATTTAGTGGCATCGGTGGTGGTAATAATAATCTGAAAACTAGAAAAGAGATAAGAAAGAATATAAATAAAGAAAAATAAAAAATGCGAGAAAATATCTTCCGACCAAAAATTTAAGAAAACATTTTCTTTCAAATTGAGACTTTTTCCGTTGATCAGAATAAATATTTTCCTTGAAATTTATTTTCTTTAAATATCCAAACACATGAAATTCAAAAAATAACTTCCAGAAGTCATTTTCATAATTTCCAAATGGACTCTTAATTGAAAATTGTAACAAAGAATCAAATATGACAATACAAAAAGAGTTATAAGATTAAATATGAGGGTGCTTGACAAGTAGCAAATACGGAGTAATTGATAGTTGATACCTTACACTTCTTACATTTAAGATTTTACTATACAAATCATTTTATCAATTAATCAAGCAGGCAAGTATTAGTTACTACTCTTAATAAAGAATACAATTACACTAGCAAAATTCTGTACTAACAAACCAACAAAAAAAGTTTTAACAAAAACATGGAAAAAGTGCTTCTGCAGACAAAATATATGATGTACATCTAGATTTTCTTCATCATTCTTTCTGTTTTTTCTCAGAACTGTAAAAAAAAATTTATGGAAAAAAAAAAGAGGAAAATTCACACAATACAGAGTGAAGATATTGCTAGTACTTTTTGTTAGATTCCATTAACTATGAGTGACCTTGATGTTGTGTCTTTCTAAAACCTTCTGTCCATTTTCCGCCCACCATTTTTCAGCCTGCTCTCCAGAGAAAATTTTCCTACTGTAAAAGAAGCAAAAAAATCCCTTCACCAAACAGAGCATTCAAACAACTTCATTCTTTACAATATATTTCTTGAGATGCAAGAATCTAAAGGTTCATTCTATATACTGGAATCACAATAGGCCAGAATCCATAGGTGAACTTTCTAAAAGACTCGAGAACTGAATTTTTATTCTTTAATCAACGTTAATTTGATCCAAAAGGAAATAAAATTCCATTCGCATACTGAAGGGAGAAAAATGGTATGGTATGGGGGTAACCCCAGCCAAGATGCAGAGAAATACCTGAAACGAAGTCTCTTTAGTTGATTGCCACCTCCAGGCAATGAAAAAATCGTAATGTATACGCCTGGTTCAGGTTGTATCACTCTCTCCGAGTTCTGTTGAACCTTCACTCGATTAGATGAGGGCGGGGCATTTGTACTGTCACTGGAGTCACTTGTGGGCGAGGTTGTGCTATTAGTCACAGTGCTTTCACGAGAAGGTTGACTAGGATCATTTGAAGACTGTTGAGCATTAGAGTCAAATATGCTAGGGGCAATATGGCCATCTGGCCCCATTTCAGACCTTATTTTCAGCTGCCAGAAGATTTGGATCATATGGACCGTTAAACACTAACAGTTAGGTAACAGTACACATTATTAGGCTGTTATGAGAAGGAGTGAGACCAAGTCTTACCCGCTTAAATAATTTCTATACAAATTGTTGAAAAATAAAGAGTTAGGTTTATCTATAGGGTTGTGTCTGTTTATGAATAGGTATCAGTTATGGATAGTTACTTACAGTTATGTGTTTGTATATATATATATATGTACTATGTTTCTTTATTAGAAACACAGATAATACTAATATATTTCAGTCTTATATACATTTTCTATTCTTTAATTCTTCATCATTGCTTCCGCCTAACTGGCGGGTGGTATTATTCTCCACCCGCCAGGCCATTCCATCTTTCAAATTCAACACAAACAATGGAAGAATGACCTATATTTTGATAAAGGGAAAAGATTAAGGATGAATGACTAAACTTCTTTTGGATATGCCCAACAATGAATTATATTTGGAGTATTTACATAATTCTTCAAGGTATTTATTGAGCATTTATAATTCAAGGTATTGTATTGTAAACTTAAGTACAATACAGGGAAGAAATCTAATTTGTTCTTATTCTGGTGCAAATAATTGAAGCATGTACTCTGTCTCAACTAAAAGCCTAAGCTAATAGTTGGATTGTACATTTGTGCGAGCCAGTTCCTTTTGACGGGGCTCCAAGCAACACGTGAGTCATAGTCTCTTTTTCATCAGGTGACGCGGAGATTCGGACCCATGACCTTTGGCATGGGGTTGGCTTTGATACCAAATTGAAGCATGTGCTCCGTCTCAACTAATAGCCTAAGTTGATAGTTGGATTGCACATTTATGTTTATATAGTATATATATGCTCCACACAGATAGTGGAGCTGAGAAGAAAAAATGTCCAACCTGTGCATAGAGAGATTTAATGACTTCTTTTGCAGCTTGGCTTTTCTCGGACTCTTCAGCTGCTTTAGCCTTAGCCTCTTTTACTTGCATTGTTTTTTTCTCGAGTTCTGCTTCAAGAAGCTGAGATTTGCTTGCAAGCTCTTCCACCTATAAACAATTTCAAGGCAATTCCTAGTAAGCAAATTAATAGTGTTCATTAATCGCCTCAACCAAACAGACTATACCCTTTTCATTTTGCATACACATCAAGATTTAGTGTTTATCATCAATGCTAACTGTGATTACCATAGACCTTTAGCCCATATGTAAAAGCCCCCTTGACCACTAACTCATGCTATTGCACAACTAATCGCTAGTTTTCTGTCCAAAATTTGCTTACTAATAACCTATCTTGTCAACTAGATATAGAGAATGTTAACTGACCATGACTAATTAGCGGTATCTGGGCAAGTGTTGCTCAAGAAACTTAACAAGAAAAACAAAGTCGATCTAGTAGAGAAATTAAAATTGTTGTATACTTTAAATAAATTTAATTAAAGTGAGTAGTTTCTATGGAACATTCTTGATTGTTTTCCTCTAGCTCCTAAAACAAGAAGCTTCCCGATATCTCATAGAATATATATTAAAAAATACTTGATAACAAAAGAAAATTGGACGAGTTAATACCAGCAGAGGTTCTCCGATTATAGTGGCACCGCTACGTTTAATCCCAAACTTTCAATTTAACCACCCATGGTCCTTCGACATTCAAATTTAACCATTCATGGTTCTTCAACTTTCAAGTTAACCACCCATGGCCCTTCAACTTTCAAATTTTTAACCATCCTTGGTCCTAATTTTGCCCTTACTTAAACTAACGAAAGGACCATGGGTGGTTAAAATTTGAAAGTTGAAGGACTAGGGTGGTTAAATTGAAAGTTTAAGACTAAATGTGCGGTGCCACTATATTCGAAGGACCCCAGCTTGTATTAACTCAATCTTGAACGCATGTATGAGGAAATTGAAAAAAAAAAAAAAAAAAAAAAAAAGGCGTATTCAAAAAACTCACCTTTGCCCTTAAACATTTGATCTCCTGACTCAATGTTGCTTCATTTTGCTTTGACGGATCATGAACTTCTTCATTTGTTTGAGTAAAAAAAGATAAAGATGGCATTCCAGGTCGCAAGAGACTTGTCTTTCTTACAATAGGATATGTTGCCTGAAGGGAACCAAGAATGGGAAGATTGGGAACCGAGAGAGAACTCTTTGAAGAGACATGTGGACTAGCTGGGGACTGAAGCAGGGAATTATATCCTCTTTGAGCATTTTCACTAAGGAAAGTAAAGATATTGCCTTCATGTTTTTCAACTTTTACATCTCGGTTGGGACTTCTTCCTTCAGTTAGGTTGAAGGAATTAATAGAAGAAAGTTTGTCAGTCCAGAGATGCTGTCGATGAAGTCCAGTATTATCCAGCAACTTGCTAAACTTAGTTTGTGAAGCTACACTTTCAAGTTTTGCGATATCAGTAACAGATCCAGGTGTCATGGGCTTCTGTAACTTGTTAAAACAATCATCACAGACACGATATGGCTTATTCATACTCGGGGCTAAAGAAGCTTTAAGAGATTTTCTGCTACTACAAGTTGAGCAAACAACCAGGCCGCAATTGTAGCAATTATGACGTTTTCGTATGAAATTAAAAGGATTGTGACAGACCGAACACATTGAATTATCGACGCTAGATACCCCTTTATGAAGACAGATTGCAGCAGTTAGATTTGACCCGCATACAATGCTCTTCACCTGCTTATCTTTAAAGAATTCTACAAGGGTGGGGGTACACTGATCACAAGTATCGCCATGACCAAGTTGCCCGTAGTTACCCTTTCCCCAGGTATAGACTTCTGATTTCGAAGTCAAAACAGCAGTATGATGTAAACCACAAGAAATTTCCCGTACAATGCTCTTGGCAATTTTACCTTCGACACAAATTGGAGATGTCCCGTCGGCTAGGGGACTTCCCAATTGTCCATTCTTGCCACTACCCATTGTATATACACGCCCAAAGGTGCTTAGAGCGGTTGTGGTGCTATGCCCACAGGCCACCTGGGTGAAAGTTTTTTCACCCAAAGCAGCTATACACTCTGGAGCTAGTCTGGCTTCTTTATCGCCATGTCCTAGCCTGCCTTTCTCTCCATCGCCCCAGGTGAATAGCTTTCCAGATTCAGAACAATCAGACGGTCCAGAATCGACGGGTGTACTCATTATTTTGACAACTGCAGCCGTGTGCCAAATACCACAAGAAACCCTCAGTGTTTGTAATCCACTCAAAGCCTCCACTTCTCGTGGAATACTAGTTCCACATCGGTTTCCATGGCCTAAGGCACCAAAGCTTCCATCTCCGAATGTAAACAACAAGCCTGAAGATGTTATAAGGGCCGTATGCCAAACCCCACAAGAGACAAAACGCACTTGGAAGCATTCAATGGGACCGCTTAGTTTCTTAGGGATCCAATGACTGACCGCACTTTTGTGTCCAAGCAGACCACAGTTATAAATACCATCACCAAAAGTATATAAATCTCCGGAGATGGTAACCGCACAAGTATGATGTTCACCACATGCTACCATCTCGACATTCATGCCACTAAGAGTGTCAATAAGCATGGGTTGGGGAATATCGGCCTCAATCCCATGCCCCAACCTCCCACCAGCTTCCTCACCCCAACTGAATACCTCGCCTCGTTTTGTGAGCAATACTGCATGCCTATAACCACAAGCAATACTATGAACATCAAGTACTACGGTTGACTCGAGTGCCCTTGGGGAATGAGCATCGATTTTCATGCTAGATAATGAACTGGCTCCGCTCAAGGCACCACCCAGCACTCCAGCTCCAGTGCCTTCACCCCAAATGAAGACATCACCTAGGCTTACAAAGTCTTCACGACAAGAACCATGGCTTGATGAACTTAAAGCACTAGATAAACTTACTCTAGATACTTCAGCAGCTACAGAATTTCGGGCATTTGGGCTTCCAACATCGGTTGGCAGCGGGCTAACAGAATAGGAATTAGTGTCAGCAAATGTATGAGTTTTGGAAGATGCAGTGTAGGAAACAATATCAGCAAATGCTTTTCCCAATCCGCCTTGAGTAAGAGACTTGCTTCGTTGGGTGTCCTCTTGATCCTGTTCCAGTGAAGCATTTAGGAATTTTTTTTTTTTTTTTTTGGTGTGTGGGGAGGGGGTAGGGTTGAGTAGGTTTCTTGGAAGAAGAGGAAGAGGGTAAAATTCGAAACTTTTATGACAATTCTCCGACAAAATTGTAGGAGTGGAAAGTAAATTACTTACAGATGATAATCTTGAAAATGGAAAGACGTTTTGACCATGTGAACTACGAAAAAACACACCTTCAGTTATGCCTTAAATTTTTACCTTTTGGTAGCTTCCATTTGAGATTAGTGCTTTCAGACCAGTAAGCCAAACCTCAGCTTCATCCTTGTCCTTGCATATCTATCCAGAATTTGCATGAGACAAAGGTAAGAGCTGATATAGATAGACATGTTGATTATCATCAGAGTGAAGCACAACTAATTAGTTAGGAAACTCATAAGAAACACACCACATCCAATGATCTATCATTATATATGAGAGAAAATGACTGGTATTCCTTCTCGGGCCGAGGATACCGTTGGAATATTGCCTGAAAAAGAGAAAAAATTATGTCTCACTCGGATGATCAACTGCTCAATTTGTAAATACTCTATAGGTGCATAAACATTTAGAAGCTCAATGCCGGACAACTAGTAAACTTAACAAAGCTCTTCATGATATCGACCTTTACAAGACCATTCATAGAGCAACAAAGCCCTTTGGATTATTAATCTAGAAACTACTTGCCATCTTTATTAAACCAATGAAAGTTATCTGCCAACCCAAAATCTACATAGGTCCCATCTTTCTATTAAATGGCACATGTTTTTTTTTTACTTTTTCATTTTTTTTTTAAAGATAGAAGTATTTCCATTCTTCACTTCAAATTCATTATTTTTTTTGTTAACTCTATAATGGCAGAGAAACTAAATACATTAGTCAATCCCAAATAATCTGTGATTAAAGCTATTTGTATTGGGTAACACTAGCCCCCGATGCACAATCCTTCCCAATTGTGCACTCCAAGAACAATAAAGAGAAATAAAAAAGAACCAATTTGTTGCCGGGAAGTTAGGGTATGTAATTGTTGGGATGCCTCAAAACATTAGGACAAAAAGTAATTCAAATGAAAAAAAAAAAAAAAAAAAAAAGGTGAGATTGAGGATGCATTTGTCCATCAGAATGTTATTTTAGAAAATCTTAAGGAGTTGAGATATATATTAAAATAGATCAAACTCACAGTTCGCTGCCCAGGAATTATCCTTGAAACACGATTCAGTTCTAGCTGCTTCTCTTCTTTGCCATAATACCATAGCAATGCGGACTCATCCTGAAATTGTTTTAATAAGAACCAAAACAACGATTGTTTTCCCAGTAGAGTAACTGAACTGGTAATTTAAGTTAAACATTTTTAAGGAAACTAATGAGGCAGAAAAGATTCAAAATATTTGAAATTTATACTAGCTCAAATATACAGAGTGTGGTATTTTTTCCAAGTTAAACTCCAGATACATGAAGCAACCCTAATAAAAGGTTGTATCTGCCACATCTACCACCATCACCCAATCCTCGCTTTAGAACAAAGAATGGGTAATGAGTATATAGCCAACATTTGCCATTCATTATATCAACGGCTAAATTAGCCCCAAGGATATGGATTAGTTTCCCTAAACACGAACCATTCATCAGAGTTCAAAGGAATCATTGATTCTGTCCCTGAAATTAAGCGCCCTCACGTGATAGTTTAAAGTTCACAAGGGCAAATGAGCAAAGTAGCCAAATAGAAAAATACAGGAGACTTAACACTATTCCAAATAATGATCATGTTGCTCCCTAAATGAAACCACTCAATCTCAAAGTAATACACAAATGATATGACACGCAACAAGAATGCTGTGGTAACTCAAATATTCCAACAATCCAACTTTTATCAAAATCTGGCGCAATTTTCTAATATTCATCAATTGAAACCTACCGTTATGAGGCATTACAAGGAAAACACACAACGCACAACATATTCAGAAGAATAGAAGTTCTAAATGCATTTGATCCACTGTGACAAAGTAAAACCATTCGTTGAATGCATAACACATTCCATGCAATTCACAAATTTAATCATGCCAAAACGGAAATAAATAGTGTTTAGATTGACAATATGGGAAATAACTCACAATAGAAAGTCGAAATGGACAGAACTTTGGTTTTCCTCTGCGCCCATACTTCAACAGGAATGCCCCTTTTTTCAATGTTGTAATGGCCTTCAAGAAACATGGCCGATATGGAAAAAACCAAGACAAAACGTAATCTCATTAACTATTATTCTACACTAGCATTTACCTTAAACTTACATTAAGGGATTTGCAAAGTATACCTGGTCGATATCCCTGTCGGCAATACTAGGCCTTTGAAGACCAGCCATTCAAGTGACAATATTGACACAAAACCCATTTGAACAACAATAGGACAAGGCTCTCCCCCTACTTCTCTGCCCCATATACTAACTACACCCACAATAACTGATTACTTCAAGAGACTACACTCTAACTCCACCTTCAATATCCCAATTTCTTTATCTATCCCATTGTTTAATTCAGGAAACCAAATCCCAAATTTGTGAACTTTCCCCTAAATCATCAAACACAGAGAACCCTCAATGCAAAATGCGACTCAAAGGACATGTAAAACGCCCAAGCTCTTGACCAGCTCAAAACCACTCATAACAGAAAACAATAATGAAAACCTAAACCTTCCATAATTTGCATGCATTACATTGAGTCTTGGAACTTGCATAAATAATTCAACCCCATAAATCCTGTTAGAAGGGATTGCATTTAGCCCTATTTATTGAAATCAAACATTTGCCAAAATCTGGGAATCAAGAGTCCCTTTAAACAGATTGAAATGCCAAAATCAAAACCTTTTTGGAGATTAAAAAAAAAAACAAACAAACAAACAATTTTGTTCGTAAATTGAAGCTTTTTGTAAAATTCAAAAAGGGTTTTTGAAAATGATTGGGAAATTACCAAATATTCAAAGGATGAAATTCTTTTTGCATGCGTCCCTTAACGTGCAAAATCCGTTCATACGTATAAATACGCATGAAATTCTGTGTTTTTACTTTCTCCTTTCTCTCTCATCAATTTGATTTTTCTTTTTCTTCTTTTAGTACCCCTTGTATTCCGCAAAGCCATGTCCTATGTTCCAGCACTGGCATTTCACCATTGCGATGTTTGGCTTTGAGCAGTAGTATTGCAATTAGTTGAATCAAATGTGTAATTGTAATTGGTTAATTATCTAATTAAAAATTTTATAATTTAACAATTACGTATTTTGTATTATTTTTGAAATTTGTATTATTAAGAGTAAATCTTATTATTTTAATTAAAAAAATTATAATTTATACATTTCCATAATATGTCAATTATTAATGTCACTGCTAAATTAGGTACTTATAATGCAATATAAAGCTTGAACCCTCAACCTCCATATGAGAGAATAACTTAATGTCATTAAACCATAAAGTTATTGGCAAAGTAAATGCAATTTAAAACTTAACAAGATTGTTTTACAAAAACTATAATTGATTATACCAAGACGGTGTTTTCTATTTTTGTTATAACATTATCATCATTGAGGACTTTTATATAATTTTATTATATTTATATTACATTTAAGATTTTTTAGATAGATATATAACTTAATCTAGCAAGTAAATGTTAACTAAGTTTCTAACTATAAAACATAAAATGTATAGAACATAATAAATTATCAAAGTACTTAAGAGGTCCATGTACTATATAATTTTGTGTGATTAAGTCTTTATATTTCGATTTTTCATATATGATATGACATTCAACTTATATTTTATTTTATTGAATCACTTCACTAATATATTAATGTTAGAATTTAGAAAATAAATAACAATCAATGCTTTCAACTATATTCAAATTATCAACCCCTTATAAAACTATCTTCAATCCACTCTAACTAACTTACCATGCAACCGCTTTAACACTACTTTGCATAATTTAATTAAAGACCATTTTAGGATGAAGGTTGTAGAAAATTTTATTTATATATATATTTTTAAAAGTTCCGTACACATTAAAATAAACTTAAATTTAATTTTTTAAAATCTATATTATTGATAGAAATATTAGAAATGATTTCTAATTTTAAACTTTCAAATTATTTACACCTGTAATTTTTTAACAAATAAAATATTTAAAACACATGTCACTTGGTTTATTTAAACAAACAAATTATCATTAACAAAATTTAAAACACGTATTTTAAATGAAAATTTAACTATGTTAACAGGTGCGAATAGATTGTGCAAATAATTAGAAAATGAAAAACTTTTTTGCAAATAATTAGAAGGGAAAATGGTACTTTTTACCCCTGAGTTATACACTTATAACACTTTTTCCCCCTCAATTATTTAGGTAAGCACATTAGTCCCCTCAATTATTCTAAAAGTGGTGCTTTTTCCCCCTAATATATTAAATTGACATTTATACCCTTAAAGTAAACATTTTTTTTATTTTATTACTCCAACAAATTATTGCGTATACGTAGGGATGAACACGGTTCGGTTTGAATTGAACCGTTACTAAAGCAATTGAATTAATAGTTTATGGTTATGATTCAGATCTAGAACCCAATATTTAAATGTCAATTTATTAAAATTATGTATCAAAAAAGTTGAATCTTGAACCATGAACCGGCGGTTCCGGATCTGATTTGCGATTTTGAACTGTCTTTATTTTAAAATTTTATTTTTTATTTTAAAATAGTCTAAATTCAATAATAAATGTATTTTATTTTTTTCAGTTCGAAACATGAACCGTCCGTTCCGGTTCACGATTTTAATAAACTCTAAATATCGAATTTCGATTCTAAATTGTAATTGGAATATTTCGGTTTGGTTGCTATAGTGTTTGTTTAGTTTGAACCAAATTATGGTCATAATTTTTTGGAGAAAAAAATAAATTAAATATTTAGTTTAAGGGTAAATATGTCTATTTAACTTTTCAGGGGGGAAAAACAGCCACTTCAATAATTTAGGGGAAAAAAATGCTATAGGTATATAACTCAGGGGGAAAAGTGCCATTTTCCCTAATTAGAAAATCAAAAACTTTTTTGCAATTGATTTGGTTGAAAGAATTTGCATGGAAATAGGCGTGTTTAGTGACGGGCATAGGTTGGAACTAACTATATTCACACTATTCAACTTACTCTTATAATTTCATGGAACAAGGGTCAAATAGGTCATCGAACTGTACTCAATAATGCAATTAGGTCACCGAACTTAAAAAAACTACAATTAAGTCCCTGAACTAACCAATTATATTCAATTAGTTCAATTTATAGATTTTTCAGGTAATTAGCAGGTCACCTCTAATTTAAAATATTTTTAAAATATTATTATTTAAAATAATTTTTTAATTAAAAAAAAATAAGAAGAAGAAGAAGATACCGTCTCTACCGAAGACGAAGAAACCTTCTTCGTCTTCCGGCCATGGAGACGGAGATAACTTCTTCGTCTCCATGGCAGGAGACGAAGAGACTCTTCGTCTCCGGCAGAGCCGATTTGTTGTTTTTTTTTTTTTTAATTTTAAATAATAATTTAAAAAAAAAATTGAAAATGGGTGACCTGCTAACAACTTGGAAAACCTACAAATAAGACTAATTGCATAAAATTGGTTGGTTCAGGGATCTAATTGTAGCTTTTTTTAAGTTTAGTGGCCTAATTGCATTATTGTGTGCAATTCGATGGCCTATTTTACCCTTATTACTAATTTTATCACCTACTTAGCTTTAATTTGTCCTGCAACGGTCCAATATTTTAAAAACTCAAAACTACTCCACCAAGTTAGACTTCTTCTGATTGTTGACTTGATAATTACAGAGTTTCAAGTTCAACTCTCAGCGAGAGCGACCTATTGACTTTATCGATTTAAGTCAGCCAATTATAAAAAATTTAAAGTGATTTATTTCATTGCCAGTTAGAATCAGAAGACATGTTTCATCCAAAACGTACTTTCAAATAGCAACTTCGAACTTTCTCGTAAATCATAGTTAAGCATTTATTAGACTATTACAAATACCTCATAATTTTATCATATAAATACACAAATATAATTAGTAGGGCCATAGGGGAGGCACTCCATACCTTCGGCTTTTTGAACTCTTTATTTATTTTGATAAATTTCCACATTTTGGTTTTGAAAAAAAAATTACACAAATTAATTAAAACCCAAAGAACATATGTAGGTTAGTAATTAGAAATAAAATGTTTGTTACACTTTACCTTATAAGTAACCAACACTTTATTTATGATTAGTATTACATTTTTCAGTATAAGTATTAGTATACATTTTTTATTTAGACCGGAACCGTCTCACGGATCCCCACACAAGTTTTTCATCGTTATTATCAAAAGCTTTCTTACACAGCAATAGACTTTAATTTGAGGCAACTAACTCTTAGCTAGGCTTCCATACAAATTGCATGTCTTTTTCATTGGTTTTGCATGTAAGAGTAGTGTTCGATCACAGAAGTGTGTTTTCTGTTCTTTTAAGCAGATCGAAACCAATTCAATGTAATGCTCCAGCAATGCCTATTTCTCTACAGACAATTCCAAAATGAAAAATTCTGCTCAAACTGAATATGAGAATTGGTGGAAATTAAACCCATTTGATCTGGGGAACAAATTAAAATGGGTTTAATTTCCTCCAATATCTCATTTTCAGTTTATTTGCAAAGATAGATGTGGAATGTTTGGGATGTGAAGAACCACTTTACTACCTATTTGACTGGGCTAGTTTCTCCTCTTTTTTGTTTTTGTTTTTGTTTGTTTTTTCCTCCCCCAATCCTAATATACATGGCTTGAAAATAAGGTAATTTAGACTAATAACATTTGGACCAATGTTGGTCGTAGGCAAAAAGTTTGGAGGGGAGGAGTGAATAAACTTTTGAAATTTTTTTACTTTGAAAAAAAAAAAAAATCATAAGAGTTTTTGTAGTGTAAGTCTTTTACTTGCATTGTTTTGTTAGAATCATAACTTTAATTTTAAAAAACATTTTAAAGAGTTTGTTAGTTATGTATATATAAATATATTTGGGTAGTCAATGACATGTGGGATTCAAAATTATTTATTTTTTTATTTTTATAAATTATAATTTTTATTTTTAAAATAATTTAAATTTAACAATTATTTTATTTTATTTTATTTTTTTCGATTCTGAATCATAAGTTCATAACGAACCGAATCGTGGTCATTTATACATATAAATAATAATTTATTGGAGAAGAAAAATAAATGAAATACTTATTTTTAAGAGTAAAAATGTTTATCTAACATAAAAATGAGAAAAACGGTCACTTTTAACATAATTTAAGGGAACAAATGTTGATACATAAATACTTAGTAGAAAAATTGCTATAAGCATATAACTCAAATGGAAAGACGTGTCATTTTCCTTTTATATATATATATATATATATATATATATATATATATATATATATATATATATAAACGTTTTCTCATATTTCGTTTTCTACATTTTATAAAATAATAATTCTACATGGACTCTCAAATCGTACTCCCATTTTTCTACTCCCTATGACAATACATTGATGGCCCGTTTGGTTCACGGAATAGGCCGGGAATGGCATAGCATTCCCAGTAATAGGCCTATTCCTTTGTTTGGTAACCATTTCTATTACCAGGAATAATATTCCTGGTAATAGCCTATTACCTCAAACAAGGTAATAGCTATTACTAGGGCCCCCCTAGTATTAGCCTATTACTGAACGCTCAGGAATAGATTTTAGAATCTATTTCCTTTTTTACCTATTTCTTTAACCTAATTTTTTTGTCCTATATATAAATTTATCTTATTTCACCACCGTCGTCGCCACCACCATCACCACCACCGTCGTCGCCACCACCACCATCACCACCACCGCCACCACTATCGCCGCCGCCACCAGAACCACCACCCAGCAGCACCACCGCAACCACCACCACCACCGCCACAACCGTCGCCGCCCCCACCACCACTGCCACAACCGTTACTGCCCCCACCACCACCGCCGCACCCACCACTGCCACCGCCACCACCACCACCGCCACCACCACCATCACTACCGCCGCCACTACCATCGTCGTCGCCGCCGCCACCAGAACCACCACCCAGTAGCACCACCGCCACCACCACCACCGCCACCGCCACAACCGTCGCCGCCCCCACCACCACTGCCACAACCGTCACCGTCACCACTGCCACTGCCACCACCACCACCTCCACCACCACCACCACCACCGCCACCACCACCGCCACTGCCACCACCACCACCACCGCCACCACCATCACATATTTTTATAAGGGTATTTATGTCTTTTAAAACATATTTCATTTCTATTCCTTAAATTAACCAAACACTGTAATATAATTCCTAAAGTCTATTCCTTCCGCGAACCAAACAATAGAATACAATTCCTATTCTATTCCTTGCCTATTCCATTCCTTATGGAATAACATTCCTATTATCTCAAAATTCATTCCGTGAACCAAACGTGCTGTGATTGTTTAATTTAGTAAGGGGTCATAAAGCCATTTATTTTTTTGTTCTTTCTCCAATTAAATTTAAACATGAATGAGAGTAAAATTTGGAGTATATTTTTGAGAATTCATGAAATATTTTTCATTATGAAATTGCTTTTCTATTTCTTTTTGGGTTCCGTACTACATAATTTACAAAATACAAACTTCATTTTTTTTTTTCAGAAATAGAAATATTCACATTTTGACAAAATTCTTCCAAGCATTTGTATTTGTGTCAATGGCCCGACTAAATACGCTCAGTCCATCTTGCACTTTCCTCTCTCTGTATTCTTGAACCCTCAATCTCCACGTACTGCGAGGAATAAGACTTGTATGTTCTTATCTATGCTTTGTATTCATAATGTCTTGATCCTTTTTTTTTTTTTTTTTTTTTTTTTTTTTTTAATGTGAGTTAGGGTTTCCGCGCATTGGGATTTTGTTGATTATTTTTGTGATTAATGTTGAGGATTTACGCCCTGCGCCTTTCAAGGTCTAGGGTGCAAATGTGCAATTCAACTGTAAAATGGAACGACGAAGTGCTGAATTCCGTGTGTGTGTGTGTGTTTCTTTTTTTATTTTTATTTTTAAATATTGTACTAGATTGTCCTAATTGCCTTTGTTGTGCCATGCTGCCCTAACTAAATAAAGGCATGTAAGAAACACTTATCAACTTGTGCTAACTAAAACATTGGAAATCCAGTCTTCAGAAATTACTGATATGGCACTGGTGCTCAGTTCTCTATGGAAAATTTGGTAATATGATACATTCTAATCGCATGGGGGTCATTGGGGTGTTGAGTAATGTGAGTATATACACTATATAATCAACCATTTTCAGAAGAAGATTATCATCAACCATGATCTATATGAGTATATGCAATGCAATATTCTTAAAGTGAACAGGGGAATTACATTTGAAATGTGTTTGTTGTTATTGCTGTTGACATAGGAAGACCAGTTATCTATCTGTTGCTCAGTTGCTGTGCTGTAAAGGCAATTGTAGTTAGTAAGTGTAATAATTATTCTTTAATCTTTTGATAGATCTACTGCAAGTTTTCCTCAGTAGTCAATAGATAAGGACCCCTACTTTCATTGAGTTATGTACTGGAGTTAGTTTTGGTGATTATGTGCAGTATTCAGATGCTTGAAAGTTTTAAAATATAGCATGTTTGGTGATTCATTGCTATTCAAAACAGAATACTCTTGCTATGTTAATCTTGATATTATATGTCTACTCCGTAATCAGTTTGAAATATTAAAATGAAGAATATTTTTCTTTTTTGATTGAAAAAAGATTAAAAGAAATATAAAAGAGATTATCTTATGGCGGGAAAGTTAATGAAATGTGGAGTCAGAGGAAATAAACCATAGAATACAAAATGCTCCTCTGACCTCTCATTCTCAACGAATATAGATGCAACATTCTAGCCTGCTTTTTATGTATTAAGAAAAGGGTGTTAGCAATGGTATGCTTGTGATACTACTCCCATTGTCCTAAACTATCTGCCATGGTGCTCTAGATGTGAATTTTGGGTAATGTATTCAAATCCATGTAGCATTCTTGTCTGCTTTTATGTATTAAAAATTACAAGGTGTTAGGTGAGTATGCTTGTGATGCTACATTGCTACTCCCTTTGTCCTAATCTGTCTGCCATGGTGCTCTAAATGACTAGATGTGGTTTCTAGTAAGTATTTTGAAATCTGTGTATATGCTATAATTTGACGTGTATGCGTCAAAAGTTTATATCAGTGTATAATCTAAATTTATCCTGTGTTAATCTAAACTACCAATGAGTTATATATTCATTTTGTGTCCAAGCACTATATAGTTTCTGTAAATAAACTTTAACATAGTACACTTTGGAAAAGAATTGCAGTTACCTGTGCTCTTTCACAAGTGTTTACCATGGATTCTGTAGAGTCTTCTGTGGGTTCTCGCTCAACCAGCAATTCAAAGGTATAACTACTTTCAATTTTTACATATTATTGGCTTTGCTATATGATACTTGTTGAAACACAAAAGTTGTGTCTGTAGAAATATGTCTGTTGAAGTTGTGTAGAGTTGTGTCTGTAGGATTGTGTCTTTTGAGTCTGTATATATATGCCTGTTGTCTCTCCATTTGAGACAAGGAAGTAATACAACAAATTCTTCTAAATCTTTCTTAACAATACTGTTAATTAGATTTAGACTAAATATTCATCATGCTTGAGCTGAATGCTTTTAGTGAGCCCTGGCTTGTGTAACACCAATTATGTCTTGAAGATGTGAAATGATTTTGCATAAAGAAGCCAATTAACTTCCATTATGCCAAATAACATCTATTAGTTATTTGAACTGTTTGGAGTGTTGTAATGTAGTAAAACAAGTTCGGCAAGTTGATCTTCTTTGAATTTGCTGATGTTATACTGTAACTGAACTTTTATAAATGTTGTAATGTACATGCTAATATCTTTTTCATCAGATTCATTGCTCCCAAAACACCTTGCTCCTTTCTTTTAAATTACTACTTAACTGCTATCCATTTCTTGTGTTTAAGGACATCAACACTACTGGTGGAACTCTTGCAAGGAGTCTAAAAAGGAAAAAAGGTGAAGAAAAACACACGTTGGGATTACATTATGTGATAATAAGTTGCAATTTTAACCTTTCATTAATCATTATTTGGCAGTCTTGTGTTGAATCACCTAAACTTTTTGAGCATTCTTCTAGAAATGTTTGTTGCCCTATTTTTACACTCATACATCTCTAAATTTCTGAAATCATAAAGGAGATACCAGCATCTGTGGAAGGATATTATGACGTTGTATGGTTTGGGATTATCCTCCACTATAGATCCCATTTCTAATTGTACAATTTGAGAACAAAGGCCTTGAAAAATCTGTTACTTTGGATCAAGACTTGTTTTGTAATATGAAAAATGATCATTTGTTGCTTGCCACTAAGCAAGGTTGAAAAAATCGCTAGCGCCCTCTAGGCGCCGCCCGTTTATATATATATATATATATATATATATATATATATATATATATATATATATTTTTTTTCTTTTAAATTATAATTTTTTTTTTAAAAAAAAAATTAGTTAAACTCCCGCCTAGGCCGCGGCGACCTACTCGGCGCCTAGGCGGCCGACCGCCTAGAACGGCGATTCCGCCGAATTTCTTGGCGGCCGGCCGCCGCGTAGCCTAGGCGTAATTTTTGCAACCTTGCCACTAAGCATGCTTATTAATAATCACGTGTAGCGGAATATTGTCATAATCTTCAGAAGAAGTCAGAGATTTATTGGCTGATAAATACCTTCAGCAAAATAAGAGTGAATAAATTAGTCATAAGATTACCTACATAAAACAAGAATACCCTTAGCAACTTCGCATAAGCTTGTAACTAGTAAATTCTCATGCTTTAAGTGTATCCAATTATGTGATTCATTGTGAAGGCCAAAAGCTCCTCTAAGACATCCCTCAGCAACTCATAATCCTCACTTTTCTACTTAACCTTTAATACAGAAACCTCTATATGTGAATCCCTATTGTAGCATATAGGAGGTGTAATCATAAATCTTCATTGGAAATCTAACAATTACTCTGTACAATGTCTCTCTTTCTCATATTATTCAATGTACAAGGAGACAGAGGACACCTAAAATTAAAAGGGAAAAATGTGTTCAAGGAAGCTTTTTATGTACATTTGTATGTTCTTTTTCCAGGAACTTTTCGGTCTTTTCCTATAATGACACAACAATTACTATGTAATTTGAATAGTTCATCTTCATTGCCTAATGAAGAAATTGAAGAAATAGTGAAGAGGTTTTGCTTAGTGGCTTATGCACTTTTGAATGTAGAAAGAAATCCCTGTAGAACTTCTATGCTTGCAGGGGACACATATATCCATGAACTTTTGACAGGAAATCCGAATAGATGTTATGAGAGGTTTAGGATGAAGCCAAGTATTTCTAGAAACCTATGTGACAAAGTGAAGAATATGAACTTGTTAATAGATTCATGAATGGGGCAATGGAGCAAGGGGGCAAGTGGGCTCCTAGTATTGTGTCATGGAGTAACACAGGATTGTGGTTGAACGATTTCAATATTCACTTGGTACAGTGCATGTTTGGATCAAGGAAGTTATAGGAGAACTAACTTGCTTGGGAAATGATGTAACGAAACCAATGAATAGAGGACATGTTCAACTAGAAATTTTAGGAAATCCAAAATGGTATCCTTTGGGGGTAATTTTGCTTGTTTTCATTTGTCCTTGTTGATTGCAATTTGTTGTTAAATTGTAGGTCTTGTTTGGTAGACATTTTCGGGTTAGCTTTTAGCTGTTTGATCCATTTTAACTATTTGACTTGGTCGAACAACTAAAGTGAGAGTTTGGTAACTATAATTTTTCTTAGTGTTTTGGGTCCAAACTGCTGATTTTAGAAATACTACTTGGAGCAGTGTTTGGAATTAGTGGATTGAAAATAATTATCACAACTCTTGTTTTTTCCCTTTTCAAATTTCTGCCTGTTTTTGAAACCTACACAGATGAGCAGTGCCCAGATCTGAGAGAAGAGAGACTAGAGGAGAGTGAAGGGCGGCAGCGACAATGGCAAATGGGTAATTTCCTAAACATCTGCCTTTGTTTTTTCCCTTCCTGACTTCCTGTATTTCTTTTTGTGAACAAGGTTGGCTTCTTGATCTGGGTCATTACTAAATTCTACTGTTGTAGGTGAATTGTTCATATATTTTAGAGATTTCTTGATCGCGAAAACCAATCTGAGTTTTCCTTGATTAACGAAGAACAGAAAAGATTCACTAACTAATCTGTAAAATGGATGTATATATTTAAGGTGTTGAATTCCATATCACCATATGACTTGGATGTGTATATCTGCCCTTTTAAAAATGGAGTTATGATATTTTAATGTTTTTGTTGAATTGAATACTGACATCTCATATGCATTAGGGTTGATTAGTGTTAGAAGAGTTAGGTTTGGTTGAGAGAATTACTCTCAACCTTTGGGGTTTGAATTTGAAATAAGTGGTTTCAGACCTTCCTTAGTTTGTATATATATATTCTCTTTCCCTTCTGTACATTCATAGCAATACAGAGAATACACAGATTACATATTGTTATACACTTTGTCACAATTAGTGAAATTGAAACATGAAATCCTTCATTTGTCAGTGTGATTCTTTGCTTTGCTCCTCTTTATTTTATTTTATTTTTATTTTTCACTCTCGTTGCCTTGCCTTGCATGTTGCTACTGACCAATGCCATCTTATTAATTATACTTTTTCCTTGCAATATTTTTAATTTTCCCACACCTTTTGTGTTTCTTACCCCACACAACTACACAAGCCAATGCACACTATTCTAATTAATTTCATAAAATTTCAACAGTTTGTCAAACTTGTTTGGATCAATTTGATTATTTTACAGGCTCTACATGTAATTGTAGAAGGGTTGTCAATTATATTCTTGCTCTAATAAAGAAAAACAAGTCTTCGGCAATTAATCTGGTTAGCATAATTTTATTATAATTGCATCTCATCAACACAATTAACACGAACTTCCAAGAATCAAGGACCTATTGCCTACTGATACGAAACCAAACTTTTTTTTTACACTGCATTTGATATCTTTGAATGTAATACTAGGGTAGCTTCGGTAAGGTTGAAGTTACTGCATACTGATATGAAACCAAACTTTGTTAGTGGTTATTTTGATAACGCAATTGTAGTTTTGGAACCAAAACTTTAAGAAGAGCAATGTTGTAGAAGGCGCTAGTCGAGCGTCGAGGGGTGCCTAGGGCCTAGAGCACCTAGGCGGCCGAGTAATTATTAAAAAACAAAAGAAAAGGCAGTGGGTTGTGAACTATTAGACTGTTATAACCCCCCAGACTAGTCAACTACATATGTTAGACTGTTAGTTGAGTACCTGGCTGGAGGAATATGGAGGAGCAGCCGATTAGGTGATGACGTACATGTGAATTAATTAAAGAAAAAACCACTCGGCCAAGTTGGGCGCCGACTTGGCCGAGTTGGGAGTTGACTCAGGTGAGTTGGGTGCCAAGTTGGCTAACTGACTAAAAGTTGCCTAGGGCTGAAATCCGGCCTAAGAAAGTATAAGTGGTTTGTCTTACTATTGCATGATTAAGACTTTACCTAAATGAAATTATTATTATTATTTGTTTAAAAGCTTTGAATGTATAATGTAAAGCAATGCATTAATAAATATATTTAATACGGATTATTGAGTACAATCTATAAATGTGACTAGTAAATATGTATTATTTGATCCCCATGTGAGCTTATAAGACTATAACATTAGAATTACACACTACTAGCGTACATTCTGATACCAAAGATTTGCAAATGCCATATTTAAGGACATGGCATTAACTAAAAGTCTGAAAGTATACACTTCATAGCAAAGCATTGAATGTACAGACTATCTTATCACTTCTATCAATCAATGATGTATACATTTCATTGCAAAGCCCGATGCCGCTAAATATTTCTTTGCTTGCTCAATGATTGAAAATCCAAAAAGAAGTATTTTCTTTGGATTTCTAGATGACAAGAATAGAGTTGAATACATTGAGTATTTGTATGATTATGAGAAGACTACCAAAAATTAAACTTACTTTGTATGATTGTGATGCAGTGTAGACATTTTTCTTTGTTATTTAGACATTTTAACAATTAACTATTAGATTATGACTGAAGTGATTTAACTTATGTTGATATATAAAATTGTTTTGTTATATATAGCTATGTAATGTTTAACTTGTACTATCAAGTTATGCTATGTTTTTAGTAAGATAAATTTTACTTGTTTTTGTGTAGGTATGGATAATAATGATATGAAAATTAGGCAACTTCTTCTCCTATATCTACAGTACTTGAATAATGAGGATGAATTTTGGGATTTGGTAGCATGTGCGACTGGTTATATATGTATCTATTTTTTGAATCATATGCACAAAGAATTGCGCATGACTTCTTATTTAAGAGGAGAAAGAAGGATGAATGAATTATTGAACGGTTGTGAAGAAAGGTGTTTTAACACCTTTAGAATGAAGCAAAGTACATTTTGTCAATTATGTGTGGATTTGGAAAACAAGTATGGTTTGAGGTCTTCAAGTAGAATGTCAATTTTGGAGAAAGTGGGTTTGTTTGTATATCTACTTGGTATGGGTGCTTCTAATAGAGATGTGGAAGAGCGCTTTCAACGTTCCAGTAAAACTATTAGTAGAACTTTTAGAGAAGTTCTGAATGCTATGGATGGTTTTTCAAGAGACATACTTGTACCAAAAGATCCCGAGTTGAAGGAAATTCCACCACAAATTGTCAATGATGCTAGATATATGCCACATTTTAAGGTAATTATGTATGCTGTTTACTCTATTTCGTTATTTTTATTTAGTGATAATGACTAATACAATGTTTATTGGATCATATTAGGATTGTGTTGGAGCAATAGATGGTACACATATTGCGATAAACGTTCCTGAAGAGAATCAAATACATTATATAGGGAAGAAAGGAATACCAACTACAAATGTCTTGGCAGCATGTGACTTTGGTTTGCTATTTACATACGTTTTAACGGGATGGGAGGGATCAGTTCATGATTCTTGCATTTTTCTTGACACAATCAGTGATTCATCTCTCAACTTTCCAAAGCCACCACTAGGTAATTTTCACACACACACACACACACACACACACACACACACACACACACACACACACACACACACACACACACACATATATATATATATATATATATATATATAATTTTAACATAACTTTTGTGTGCATTTAGGTAAGTATTATTTGGTGGACAAAGACTATCCAGAAAGTGAAGGGTATTTGACACCTTACCCCAAGACAAGGTATCATCAATTGAAGTTTCATGATTCAAATCCAAAGGAATCTCAAGAAGTATTTAATCAAGCACATGCATCCTTAAGAAGCTGTATTGAGAAGGCTTTTGGTGTTCTCAAGTCTCGATGGAAGATATTACAAAAAATGCCAAGATACTCACTAATGGATCAAAATAGAATAATTTGTTCGTGTTTTGCATTGCACAACTACATTAGAAAAAACACAGTTGATGACCCGGGTTTTAGATTCATTGAAGAAAATCCTAAGTTCATTCCCCCTGATGTTTTTCAAGATGTTGAAGTTAATTCTGTACAAATTCCGGAGGAAATGGAAACTCAGGAGATGGCAACTATTCGTGATAACATTGCTTCAAGTTTGATGGCAGCTAGATGTCATTCTTAGTGTAATATCAATATTTTGTAAATAGTAGTGTTAATTATTGTGGTGGATCTCATCCCTAGTAATTGTTTGTGTTGGTATGTGTTGGTTGGTGATCCTTTTGTTATGATGTAGACTCTACTTAATCTAAGTTTAAACCCGGGATTCTACCAAGCCCACTGGGATATACTCGGGCATGACCTTACTGCCCTTTGCAAACATTTCCTCAGTTCTGGAAAACTGCCCAAGGGCCTAAATGACACCCAAATTGTTCTCATCCCCAAGAAGCCTAAACCTGAAAATGTGGGTGACCTAAGGCCAATTGCACTCTGCAATGTTGCCTACAAAATTGTGGCTAAGGTTCTTGCTAATAGACTGAAAGTCATCCTGGGCAGTCTTATCTCGGAGTATCAAAGCGCTTTCGTTCCAAACAGACTCATTTCTGACAATATTATGGTAGCCCATGAAATTCAGCACTTTCTGAAAAGAAAGAATCAAGGAAACACTGGTTACGTTGCTCTCAAGGTTGATATTAGTAAAGCCTTTGATAGAGTGGAATGGAATTTCCTGCGGGGAATCATGACTCAAATGGGCTTTTCTGCTAGGTGGATTAATCTGATTTCTGAATGCATCTCTTCTGTTAAATACTCTATCCTTAATGTAGGGGAGGACATCGGGCCTATTCTACCTCAAAGAGGCTTGAGACAGGGGGACCCCCTGTCCCCTTATCTTTTCATTATTGTTGCAGAAGGCTTGAGCTCTATGATCCAGCGTGCTGAACGGCAAGGTTCCCTTCATGGTGTCTCAATTGCCAGAAATGCTCCAATCATCACACATCTACTTTTCGCGGATGATAGTTATTTCTTTTTCAGAGCTGATCCTACTGAAACTATGGTCTTTAAATCAATTCTGGATTCTTATTCGGCTGCCTCAGGTCAAGTCATCAACCTTGACAAATCAGCCCTTATTTTCAGCAAAAATGTAGGGGAATCAGTCTGCATTCAAGTGGAAGACATACTTGGTGTTAGGAGGGACATTTGCAATGGATTTTATCTTGGTCTCCCCTCTCTTGTGGGCAGAAACAAGACTCAAATCTTGGGTTTTATCAAAAACAGAATCGTTTCAAGAGTGCAGAGTTGGGGTCACAAGCTCCTTTCTAGAGCTGGAAGAGAGATTCTATTGAAAAATGTCATACAAGCCATCCCGTGCTATGCCATGAGCGTTTTCCTTCTTCCAAAGAGCCTTACCAGTGAGATTGAAAGAGTCATGAATGCCTTTTGGTGGAAGGGTGAAGTAGGTGGGAGGCAAGGAATCCGTTGGAAATCTTAGTCATCTTTATGTGTCCCTAAGCTTTGGGGAGGTCTTGGTTTCAGAAGTCTCAGGGAGTTTAACTTAGCTCTCCTCTGCAAGCAATCTTGGAGATTAATAGAAAATCCTCTCTCTTGCTGCCAGATTGTTCAAATGCAGATATTATCCTAACTCCTCTTTTTTTGATTCTGTTAAAGGTCACAACCCATCCTTTATTATTTGGAGCAGCCTGTCTGAAACCCGGGAAATCATTCGCAAGAACACGCGCTGGAGAGTTGGCAATGGTCATCGGATCAAAATATGGAATGATCAATGGCTTCCTGATAAGAATAACCCCAGAGTCATATCCAATCCTTTTCCTATGATGCATAATGAGGAGGTTTCATCCCTCATCAATCCTCATTTCAAAGATTGGGATGCTCATGTCATCAATGATATCTTTCACCCCAGAGATGCTAAACTGATTCTCAGCATCCCTCTACCTGTTCAAAACAAAGAAGATAAACCTATTTGGGCTATGGAGGAAAAGGGCACCTTCTCTGTGAAGAGTGCCTACAAAGCTATCATGGGTGAGAGACCGGAGTCTGAAAAATCTGATTGGAGCTTAGTCTGGAATCTGGAAATTCCCCCAAGGGCAAAAATTTTCATATGGCAAGTCTGTACAAACTGCCTTCCCACTGCCGATCTCCTACGGTTAAGAAGAATTGATTGCCCCGCTATTTGCCAAGTCTGCCACTCAGCCGAGGAAAGCATATCTCACGTTCTTGCTGGCTGCAAAATCGCTAAGGAGGCGTGGACTTACTTCAACAGTCAGCTGAACACTACGGAAGACCACAACGCCTCGACCTGGTTCATGAAGATTATCCGACAACTCCGCAAAGATCAAATATGCAGCTTTGTCATGATTTGTTGGAACTTGTGGTTAGCACGTAATGAAAAAATATGGAATCAGGTCTCAACCACAGGCAGGAATATTGTGGAGAAAACCAGAGCTTTCCTTCTTGATTGGAATCGGGTGCATGCTAAACATTCCAACCGACCTGCTTACATCTCAGGTACTACTCACTGGTCCAGACCCCCCGCTGGTTTTCTTAAGCTAAACATTGATGCTGCTCTTAATCCAAGCATGGGAAGATTGGGCTTTGGCTGGATTCTTCGCGATCATCATGGGTCCTTCATCGCTGCCTCTAACTTCTCCAAAATCGGCTACTGCTCCCCTAAAGAAGCCGAGGCCATCGCAGTTCGTGAAGCCCTCTCATGGCTAAAGCAGCAAAACTTCTCCAAAGTCCTTGTTGAAACTGATGCTCTTTCTGTGGTTCAAGGTCTACATGCTGATAATCATACTTCCTCTTTTGATCTTGTTTTACTTGACATTAAAGATTTACTAAGTCTTTTAGACGATGTTACAATCTCGTTTGTTAAACGCTCTGCGAATGGAGTTGCTCATACGCTAGCTAGAGACTCCATCTCTAATGCAGACCGTAGGGACTGGTTCTCAGAACCGCCTTCTTTTATTTGTACTCTGCTTTCCTCTGATGTTAATGAATGATTTCGTTGTTTGTTTGCAAAAAAAAAAAAAAATTAAATGTTTTGTTATGTTACTCAGTATTATTTAGTCACTTTATCTTTAACTATTAAATATAATTTTTATTTTCTATGCCATAGATGGAATTCATTTAGCAGTTTGATCATATGCCTTTACGGAACAGACTTCCCACAGTAGAAAATTTGAACCAGGTTTTGAGCCATATTAAGTGCACTTTTTCTGCTGCCCAGAACTTAAAACTTGTTAAAGGAGTTGAGAGGGAAGAGGTTAGGTTAGCTTTGTTTGACATGAACCAGGATAAATCTCCAGGTCCCGATGGGATGAGTCCCGAGTTTACTTACCACAAATATTGTGCTTATACCGAAGAAGGCAAAATGATCTCAGACCCAACCTTTTCCCCTTCCAGTTTAATTATTATATTGAAGATATTAAAGAAATCGGGAGACTTATTCTTCATATCCATTTCTCTTTTGTTAAGAGGTCAACGAATAGAGTAGCTCATGATAGCTAAAGATGCTAGCTCGATCTTTCGAGATTGTAACACTTGGTTTAACTCTCCCCCTCTTGCTGCGCGGTTGTTGGCCGGTTTGAGGGAAGATTTGCTTGATTAATGATATAGTTTATCCATTTAAAAAAAAAAACACATTATAATTAGAACACAAAATTTGTAATGGTTTATCTTCAATATGAATTTTATTACGATACATGGTATTGCCCATTATATAAGGATAACTACATATAGTAATTTCGTAATTACCCTTTTACATTTGGTAAATTGTCGAATATTATATATTAAAATAAGATACCATGTAAAGTCACTTAATATTTATTAGGAAATATAATTAGACTATGCAATTAACAAATATTTGATAGTTAATGAACAAAATGGTCTTTCAATTATTGCAAATTTATCATTATAATATACCATTTTGACCTGATTATATAATATTTATCTAATTTAGTCATTTGTTCAGCCTCTATGGTTCATGTTCAGTTGAGTCACCATGATTTACATCCTCCCAAATGCTCTGTCGGGCCGAGGTGTGGGAGCCCTTAGGGTTGGGGTTCAGTCTTTTTGGAATAATTTAGTCATTTGTTAACTATGCTTGTTGACGGGCAGCCTGTGGCCTTCCATGCTCGCTCCGTCAAGCTGGCGGGGCGAGCCACAATTCTATAAAAGTCCATTCCTTGGCGGGTTGTTATTTTCGAAACTTACTTCTTACCTACGTAGAGGTGGGTCGGATCAGATTTGTGAGTAAAGTCTGTTTTGACAGCTCTAGTTACAAGACTAAAGTATTAGGACATGTTTGTCTTGAAGAAGAAGACCGGATGAAAGAGGAGAGAATATTCAAATTTGCTAGATGATGTTTGAAAGCAATCCTGCCCTTATTTATAGTACCCCCAAGTGTAAGGGCGCAAGTTGTACCGTACTTAGGGGCATAAGTGTAAAAGCCTCGAAATAAAATAAATTAAACGGGTCAAAGACTGAAATACGAATAAAATTTATTTTGTTGACAAAAAATGAAAAGATTTTGAAACTTGGGTCTGAAATGAGAAATGAGCGTTTGGACATGTGTTTGATGTCAAATACAATTTTTTTTTTTAAATTTTAAATAATAATTTTTAAAAAATATTTTAAATTAAAGGTGACCGAATAGAAACTTAAAAAATTTACAAATTCGACTAATTGCATGAAATTAGTTAATTTAGGGATCTAATTGTAGCCTTTTTAAGTTCAGTGACCTAATTGTATTATTGTATGCAGTTTGATGACTTATTTAACCCTTATTCCTATATTTAATGTCCGTTTCAAACAAAATATATACCAACAGATTAGCAAATTATACCATGAACCAGTGTCTGTCTTGTATTATTGGTCCTGATTTAGAAATAACCTTTAGATTATGTGTTTGCAGTTGATACGTTCTGTACCTGCAATTAACCGTTTTTGTACCTATAAACAAATTGGAAGCACATAACATGGTAATTACAGACACATAACATGATAAATACAGACACATAAATGGTTAACTACATGTACATAATATGTTAACAGTTAACTACATGCACATAACATGTTAACCAACATCTTATGTATTTACAATTAACATATTTTGTATATGTATTGACAATTTAAGTGTCTATAGACTATAGTTATCATATTATGTATCTGTAATTACTATGTTATGTGCCTTCAATTTGTTTACAAGTATAAAAATTGTTAAACGGCAAATACAAAATGTATTAACTGCATACACAT